GTTAAGTGCCGTGGAGTCAGTTCTGACTCAGCAAACCTGTATTGGGTTTCTGAGGAGTGGTTGGTAGGTTTGAGCCACCACCTTGAGGTTAAAATCAATCTTGTGATCTAGTGCTTACCCAACAGCATCACACCTGGAATCATATATTGAAACACTTATTATATGCTAAGAGGAGTCTTGATGTGGCGCTGTGGGTTAATGCACTGTATTGCAATCTCAGTTTGAGCTGCAAGGTCAGTGGTTCAAGCTCACCAGACGCTCCTCAGACACCCTATATAGGGTCATTATGAGTTGGAACGGACTCAATGGCACTTAACAACAACAATAATGTGCTAAAAAGACTCCTGGTATGGGGCTGTAGGATCCGCACTTAACAACAACAATGTACTAAGATATTTTAGGGTGAGCCCTGGTGGCAAGGTCATTAGTTTGAATAACTTTGAAAGAAAGATGAGGCTTTCTCCTCCCATAAAGATTAACAGCCTCAGAAGCCCTAGTTGGGTCTCTATGAGTCAGACCCAACTCAATGATACTCAACAACCATAACTAATATCATTCGGGAACCCTGGTGTGGTGCTGTAGGATAAGCTGTTAGAAATACAAGGTCAGTGGTTCAAAGTCTCCAGCAACTTCTCAGAAACCCTATACAGGGTCACTGTGAGTCAGAAGTGACTCGACGGCATGTCCCAACAACAATATTATTTGAGAATAAATATGAGTTGAAAATTAAATTTTAACACTTATACCTGGGAAAATCGATCACTTACACTTCCTGGAGGTATAATTACCAAGACTGACTGCTGACCAGAAACTTTATGGTTTGAATCCACAAGACGCTTTACAATTGTGGCAGTCTTCTTCCATAAAAACTATAATCTTTGAAACTCCATGGGGCAGTTGTACTCTGTATGTGTTGGACTCCATTAGACAGGAAAGGGACAAGATCTACTTTAACCCATTGAGATACACATTTTTAGTACTGTTTGCTATGAGAGGTTTAAGCAAAAGAAAATGAGATTATATTAAATTTGAACAAATAGGAGTTTATTATAAAATGTCATCCACATCTAAATAGGATTGGTTTGAAAAACTAAAGGAAATATTTGGCCTTTTGTAAATCATGTACAGTATTAGTATATCAGACATTTGAAGTTAATAAATTTAAATAATTTCAGGTTTCCATACAAATTGAAGGCACTATGCAAAGCATTGCCTTTTACTTCTCACAGCTTTCTTTTTTTTTTTTTTTTAAATATTTTATTGTGAATTATATGATAGCTTACATGGGGGAACTTTAGTTTTACATTCATTCCATCGTATTGCCATGGTTCCAATCCCCTCCATGCATCATCAACCACCCAAAGGGTATATCCCAGAAACCCGCCCCCTACACTTCCCCCTCCTTCCCTCAGTTTTCGGTCCACAGTCCCTTTCCCTCTCTGGGTCCAAAGTCCCCAGTGGCTTCATCACTCCACATCATCATCTCTGTCTCTATCTCAGGCATGTCTGTTTCTCTCACAGTTTACTTTAATGCTAACTACCAGTGAGTGATGCATTTGTCAAAACTAACAAACCAACATTAGTACATTAAAACTATCGATGTTGTTGTTGTTGTCAGGTGCCATCGAGTTGGAACCGACTCATAGCGACCCCATGCACAGCAGAACGAAACAATGTCCGATCCTGGGCCAACCTCACTACCGCTGCCACACTTGACACCATCAATGATACCACCTAGCTGATCCATCTCGTTGGGGGTCTTCCTCTTTTTCTCTGACCCTCCATCTTACCCAGCATGACATCCTTCTCCAGTGACTGCTCCCTCCTGACAATATGTCCAAAGTATGAGAGACGAAGCTTAGCCATCCTGGCCTCCAAGGAGCACTCTGGCTGCACTTCCTCCAAAACTATCGATAACTAAACTTAAATCATATGGAATGACAAAAACAATCACATAATAAGATTACACAATGCCATTTTGAAGAAACAAACAAAATCTAGCATTTTGCCTAAAGATTCATGCCTTTAAGTTAAAGCTTAGCTCTAAATTCTATTCTAGTAACCCGAACTCAGTCAACAAATTTGGAGACAATTTATAATGAAATCTCAGAGAAGAGCTTTGATACCTTTCATGTTAACTTTATTTGATAACAGGCATCACAGCCCAGGTACAAGAGGTTTCAGTGAAAGTTGGTTGATGGAGCAAGTTTTAAAACATAATTCAATATTTTTTTGTTCTAACTCATTCAAGTTGTGCCTATCCCCAAATTTTCTTAACAGAGATAAGGATTCATTATTTGGCAAAGTATTTGTTTCCAGTTTACATATCAATGTATATTTAAAATTAACCAATTAAAACACATTTTACTTACATCTTATGAATGGTACTTGTTGAAAAGAATGAGTTAGTGAAACAGAGACTGTTTTGGTAAAAAACAGGATTTACACTTTCTGTTCCCCTGGCACTCAGCAAACTGGTTTCACCTGGTCCTCCGGGGGAATGAATTTATTGGGCACAAGTATAGTGTGCAGCTTGTCAGGGCTAACCAGGAGAGGCAAAATTATCTCCCGTGAAACCAAAGTCTTAAATCTTTAAAAAAAGGGATTAGACTTCTGAGTCTGATCTAATTTCACCCTTACATTTGAGAAATAAAAGGGGTGCCAAGATCTGAAGTTTTGTTACACTAATTTTTCAGCTAGGTCTATAACTTTAGCCATTTTTTTAGGATTTGGAAAATTTTTTCTCGTGCTTGAATTAGTTCAGCTGAATCTGACTCCTCTTGTATGTATACATCTGAACAATGTGCTTCACCTAAAATGAGAAAGAGAAGGTTAGGATAGCTATATACCAAGAATCCAAACAACAGATGTGCTTAATCCCACCTGAACATTTGAATCACCTGGAAACTTGTTTCCAACAAACCAATATGAACCCCGATCTTCAGGGATTTTGATGAAAATGTACAGCTATATTTAAGAAAGTGGATTGGTTAACTATTATAAAAATTTATTAATCAAAGATGTATGTGTCTGTGTAGATTGGGTTTGGGCACTATGATATTTCTTAAAGTGTGTAATCTTTGGAGCCTAAGCAATCCTCCTGTGTTTTAATTTTATGACTGTTTCAGGGAGTTAGAAAGGTGGTAGATTTAGAGACGATGGTGTAGAGTTTCCTTTTTGTTTAAATTATGTGTTATGTAACAAGTTTCATCTGAGGAGGTTATAATGTCTATATCTTTAGGTGTGTCACTTGAGAAAAATTTCCAGGGAGTCCTGGTATGTATAAACACTTGACCTCAAGGTCGGTTTGAACCATAAGGCTGGTGATTCAGACTCAACAGCCACTCCTTGGAAAACCTATGTGTGGTAGCTATGAGTCAGAACCAACTTAATGACACTTAACAACAACAACAGCTACTGGAGTCACAATGTCCGTTTCTAGAGCTGATGGTTCAATTTTCTGAATTTCGGCAAACTGACTCCCATACTGTGAGCATGAAATTGTCCATAATGGAAGCAAGACGGTATGCCAAAAATATTACTACTAGGGTTCCAATTCATACATTCCCGCTTTATTCCAAATAAAACAAGTTTAAACATGTCTGTGTGATCAGTGGACAGCTACATACAAGTTCTCTCAGTAATATACATGTCTAAGTCTCGTTAGGGTGCCTTCAAAGAAAAGGTCCAATCAAAACTTTGGCTTGAAAGGGGATCTGCTGGGCCAACTAAATTCAAGGTAGAGGCATCAGCTCAGAAAGGAATGGGACTGGTTTTGTTTTTGTTTTCCAAAGGGGTTTAGTGCTGTAGGAAAAACACTGAACTGTTAAGCGCAAGTTTGATGGTTCAAATCCACGAGTTGCTTTTGGAAACTCTATATGTGGTCACTATAAATCAGAACCAACTTGACAGCACTTAGCGACAACAACAAAGGGGTCATCTTGATACATTAATTTTCTTGAAAGTCTCAGGATCATCATGATTGCATAATCAGAAGTTTTAAGAAAATAGAAAACTGCATTGGTAGTAAAAATGTAGGATATTTGTGTTGAGGAATTCTATTTTTCTCATCACAACGCTGTTCCTTACTATTCCTTATGGGGATCAAGGGCAGTCCATTGGGAATTTCACTGGAAAACTTCACCGTATTTACCCTGATCTTTCCCCTTCACACTTCTTTTTTGTTCCCAATCCCAAACAGGCTTTCAAAGGACTGGTGTTTCAGTCTCTTGAGGATACCAAAAACAGTTGTTTGAACCTGTTGTAAGTCTGTGGTTGTTATTATTGTTAAGTGCTGTTGAGATTCCTTTGACTCAGAGTGACCAGCACAACACAATTAAACACTGCTCTGGGCCTGTACCATCCTCACAATTGTTGTTAGATGTGAGTCCATTGTTGTGGCCACTGCGTCAATCCATCTCCATGGCATACACAAGTCTCCACTGACAGATGAGTGTGAGGTACATTGACCAAGAATCCAATCTGAGGTTCCTACATTGGGACTTCCACCACGGAGCCACTCTTGCTCCCTGCATTTATTACATGCTGACATATATCCTCCTTTTTGTGAGCACTTGACTTTTCACAATTACTTTACCTTTAATGAAAACAGCAGGCAAGCTTTTACTTATATCCTTTGTAATTCCCACAGCATGCCAAGGATCAATGGAGCCACTGGGAAAAATGATTTTGCTTCCCTTCATATCAAGGCCACCATAGTACATGTTGGTGGCTGAAACACCTGCAGTCAGTGAACTGTAAGTGAACTCAGAGCCAAAGATATCTGAACATTTCTTAAGAAAATACCTGCAAAGGAAACAGGGCACAACTGTAGGTGTTGGAGAATAGAGTTGAGGGGTGACATAAAAATACTTTTGGAAAGAATGGTGGATTTTTGATTTTCTAATTCTTTTGTTTCCCCCTGAGAATCTAAATTACTTAAATTGATGAAATAACTTCTTTAGCTTAAGAAGCAAATTGTACGTCTCTCTGTCTGTCTGTCTATCTGTTTGTGTGTCTGTCTATCCATCCATCTATGCATTTACCATCTATCTATCCTAGCCTAGGAGGTCCTCTAATACAGAATATAGAAGAAAGTAGCTAGCAAAGACCTCATCTATCTGCACACTTGGTGGGTCCAGTATGGAGTTTTAGTGAAAAGGTTATAGACACGATAGAGTGTCATTTCTTTTTCTGAAGATATAGGTTGTTGTTGTTAAGTGCCATCGAGTTGATTCTGACCCATAGCAACAGTGTATAGGTTTCCCGAGGAGAAGCTGGTGAGCTTGAACTACCAACCTTGCAGTTCAAATGACTTTGAGGTCTGACACATTAGCCCACAGTGCCACACCAGGTTCCCAGACTTACTAGAGTCAGTTTGAACTGCAAGGTCAGCAGTTCAAACTCACCAGCTTCTCCTCAGAAACCCTATACAGGGTCACTATGGGTAGGAATCGACTCGATGGAGGCCAGGAACCATATCTTGCTTTACCAACCCAGTAAGTATGTATAAATATCAGAGACCACAGAGAATAAAGTTGAGTAAGGTAAATCTGTGCAAATTGTGACTAACCTGAAATTCAAAGCAGATGGACAATTTATTATCTTTTATTTGCAATTTTGTTGTCATCCAAAGTTGATTTTTCAATCAACAATCAAAGTACCTTCTTGGTAAAAGAATATTAACTAAAATAATCTTATTATGCCAACAAATAAGGCTGAGGCTCCCAGTATTCTTACTCATTCTCTCGAACATATATTGATTTCCTGACAGCTGCTAATTATGGTAGATTAAAAATCTGAAATTTGTTTCTATATCTCATTTTGGGATATATATATATATAATCCTGAGAATTTCTCCCTTAATTTTTCACTAATTTTCCACCAACCTAATCAATTTAATTTTCCGTTAAAACACAAACAAACGAAAACAAAAAGACCTGAAATCCTGGTTTGTCGAATTTACCTGAGAGGCACTCCAGAGAAGGGCTGGGTCTTTGACTCTGTGGTCAAAAAGAAGCCAAATTCAGTGCAAGCCTGATATAACCACTGCCGGGCTAGAAACAAAACATCAACCAACTGAATCAGAAATCATATTTGCTGTGGTTTATCAAATACATTTATCTAAAATTAGTTACTCTAAATTATTTGCTGCTTATGACCTCCTAAAATGACTTTGACTTCATTATTATTAATGCCATTTTTAGTCATGTCTAATCTCTGGTTAGC